AATAATTTCCTTCATTATCAAATATTCATTACACATTGTGAGATTAAAAAAAAATACTAAATGCTCTATAAGCTACAATTGAGAGCAGACTAATTCTTCGGTCGATCGCCAAGTAAGAGGGTGAACTGGCATTGATCGCCGTCCTGATCGCACTGCTGCAAGGGCAGGCATAGAGGCCGAGAAGCACTCTCAACAAGCAATAAGGAAGAAAATAATGGAAATGAAAATGATAAGTGCGAAATATACGCGCATTTTTAGAGTCATGGAGGTGAAAAGACAGAATATGAATGGCCACATTCGTGTATAGTAACTGAAATCAAATAGCCCAAAATCTTGGGAAAATAGATGGGAATACCAAGAAAGACTGTACATGAATCTTAGTATAAAACAATTAAATGCTTGGGGGGTTGACGATTAAGGACAACGTCAATAAATACGCAAGTAGACAAAACAGTCGTTCATTAATGACGATAACTACTATTACATAAAAAAAAATTAGCAATGGCAATTAGCGCGAAATTACAAAAGGAAAGTTAAGGCATTTGATGTATTAATTACAATTCACCCCAAGCCGAACGTATTCTTTCCCTAAGTCTTCCCCTATCATCGCTCTGTTGAGAAGAAGCGACATTCAATTCAGTTACAAAATCGTCATCAACCTCCAGTTTTTTGTACTGCTCAACAAAAGACTTGACTCGTTCAATTCCTTGAGAAGTATTGCGCTTTTTAGCAGCCATCCTCACCCCACAGTTGTTCATCTTTGCTTTAAGCTCCCTCATCTCTACAGCCAAGCTTATAATCAAAGAGTCTTCAATCATAACTTCAGAGGAGATTTCTTTCAATTCATCATCGGCTTTGTTAATCTCTAAAAGCAAAGACTCTCTTTCAGACGAAGCACGAAGATATTGAGTACTCCTGGTCTTTAGTTCAACATTTTTAGTTAGCAAGGAGAGGATGTTAGAGTGGACAACCTTCAACGTCGCTTTGAAGTCAGCAGAAATATTGAGCGACGGAAGTGTAAGTGCTTGTACCAATTTCGCACTCAACAGCTCAAACTTATCCTTCTGTTTAGCAGCACTGGCCTGGTCGATTTCCATGTCCATGAAAGACATATACTCAAATACTGATTATTTGAGAGATTTCATACTTTCCTCCGAAAAAGTGGAAGATGAAACAGAAGAATGACTGGTTGAAGTAGGGCAAGGTATCTTTACTTGTCCCCAGGAAGTGAACAAGTCCTGGATGGAACGCACAATGTCATCAACACACTGCAAAGAAAGATGTCAATATTGAGGATCTTCACTATGATGAACGAAGTAAAAATGAAAGTGAAGTAAAAGGTTACCTCATCAGCAATTCTGGGAGATTCAGGCATGTCACTAGTTGGCTCTACCACCTGTGGGGACTTCCCCTTATCTGGGCGAGAAGATTCTGCCACAACGGGCAGGTCCATGGGAGCCTCTGCACCATTCAAGAAGTAACGAATCAAAAACCAGAAACACAAGCAAAGGTAAAACATCAAAATATGTATTACCTTTCGATTCGACATTTGGGGAGTCGACGCCCTGGAAAGAAGGTGGCCTTTCTACTGGTTGCGATGAAGTTTCTAGGACTAAGGGTTTCTCTTTAAGCATAGTCCCTTCATCAGCTGATTCAGACAAAGCAGCTTCAGCAGAGGGTGATAAAGCAGGAGCTGCCAAAACCAGAGCCTTCGAAGGAGAGGCTGAACTTTTCTGAGAAATTCAGGTAAACCATTAGTACATAGAAAAGTATGTTTAAGAATAAACAAATTCAGTTACCTTTCTCCTAAGGATGAGAAGAGCATCATCGTCGTCATCATCATCCTGCAAAATGGGAGATGTTGAAGCTGGCTGTTTGCGGCTGGAGGTGCCTTTGGCTATAGTGGTCTTGGCAGGAGGAGAAGCAGGGGGAAGAATAGAACGTTTAGCGCAAGCAGGTGAGGAAGGATTCCTGATGGACACAGGGGCAGCCAGAATGGGAGAAATAGAAGACGTGTCTGGTTTATCTAGTAGATGGAAAGCACTGTTGGCATCAGTTGCGAACAACCTGCGCTTCACAGACGACCATAGTTGGTAAAAAAAGGGATGTGTGACAGCGGTAGAATTGAAAGAGGTTAAAGAAAAACCTTCGGCCAAAAGGTTATTACGGGTGTCAATGGAATGCGCCTCGATTTTATTGATAGTATGGAAACGCTCTGTCAAATTCTTAGAATAATGAGGAACGGGCCACGTTTGGCCGAAACTAAGTTGGCGAGCAAAAAATTGGGGAGCATATATCTCAACCCCTGCTTTAGCATTTGTTCCTGTGACAATGTCATGGAACAGTTCTCTCCCAACCAAAAATTGAACCCAGATGGGTAAAGAAGTGCTCACTTCAGCTAAAGTAGAAGGAGGCCGTATGTAAAGAGGGATTTGATGAGGAGAAAAAGGGAAGAAAGAAGGTGTTGAATTCAAAGTATAAAAGAATGTAAAAACGTCTCTGCTAGACATATTTACAGAGCTCAATTGATGAATGAATAGCCCATAGCAGCTGACTGTTCGGGGAGGAGTTGGTGGAGCACCAAGCTATGTGAAATAGGCTCTCAACCACAATTGAGTAAGCCAAAAAGGCCCACTGCAAGTAAGAGATGCACCACTCTTTAACTGAAATTGGAGGGAAGCCATGCCTCTATAAAAAGCGGCTAAAAAGAATGAACACAAATTTAAAGACCTGTCGCGTACCAATTCATGCGATAGTGGTAGATAAGTCATAAAAGGTTTCAGGCTTAGGACACAAAGAACGTATGTACAGAGCTAGACCTGAAGGAAGGCTACAGGCTCAACATGAGTAGGTTCAGAATTGGAAGCAATATAAAGACCTTGCATGCTTGAGTAAGATTCAGCAACTTTCTTCTCAAACTTTAGGGCAGCATTGGAAATCAAAATGTCAGGAAAAATGGTATCGCNCATACGGCCTAGTAAGGATTTTTCGAAAATCTTCAAAACTGAAAGCATCATCAGCTTGAGTTTGTGAAGTCGCCATTGAGTACAAAGTACAGTCTTGTTAAGGCTTGCTTAAGAAATGTAGCAGAAAAGCAAGAAGATGAACAATAAAATAGTGAGGAAGAAGTGCAAAATATAGAGACGTGGTTTAGTGGTGCGATGAAATGGCGTGTCTTTTAGGTTTATAAGGGTTTGTAACGTTGCACCTTTTTAGGCTATATACGGAAATAATGATTGAAATTTTCAGGAATTTCAAATGTTGCTTGGAAAATACAAGGTGAATATGACATAAATTAATACTTGGTATTAAATCTGCCATATTGAGGGTTAATTGTTGACACACTAAAAGTGCAGTCCAAATTAAATAGCCCAAAGAGTGAGACCCAATTGGGGAGTCCAGGATAAAGGCCAGATAAGATTATTTGTGAATGCAGAGGAAGCCTACGAACATAGTAACATCATCGCCCAAACTTGCAAGAGTCCAGAATCTGAGCGAATGGAATGCCTTACGGTCGCCCAGAGCGATGATCTCGTTCTTGCCCAAACCTTCGAGTCGCCTACAATCTTAACAAACATGAGATATTATGGTTATCCAGAATAGCAGTTATCGAGTAGACTTACACATTCCACGATTCAAGGAGCCCATTTGAAGGCGATTGAACGACAAAGAGTAATGACAACAGTTAGAGATGTCAGTTCCACGACAAGTTAGCTACCAAGAAGAAAGTGGGTAGTTATAAAGCAATCAAGCAGTTTCCAAGCGATTTGTCACAAAAAAATCATCATGGGAATATAAAAAGGAAGAGAAGACATAGAGAAAAGGATCCCGAATCAAACACTCTCAAACATAGAATATGTAATTTCAATTTCTTAGATTAACTTTAATTATCCATTTTCAATATTCGTGTGCTTGCGCCCCTTGGATGTATTCTGTTTATTTCCAATTGTAACTCTCATCAATAAAGCACCATTTTTGAGACTTTGTCTCGGTTTGTCTCTTACACAATCGTCTGAATTCTTTTTTAATTGTTAGCTACTACCCACGCGAAACAACTACTAATACATCACAACCCACAACCATCGGAAGCGTAGTACAAATTCAGGCGATGATCGCGATGACGACAGCAAAGGTCATGATAGATTAGAATTTTCTGTTTAACGTGTTCCACCAGTGGCCATTGTCGATCCATCAAGATTCAAAGCAGAGTTAGTGTACCTACCCTTGATTTCAATGGCTAGTACTAGAGCTATTCCTGTTGCTGGTGATGCAAGTGGTGGCAACGAGCTTATGTATGATCAGCAATAGGAGCAGCGATTGGTGTTGTCAGGCGGGAAAGAAGATTTGGGAGCTTTACATTGTTGGAAGATAGTTCGAAGAGGTTAAAGAGTCCAAAATCATCACCTGGTCCGACATTAACGAAATCCTAGGTCGATTTTACACTTGATTTTCTTGCAAGTTGGATTTATGAATGTCGTGGTTCTTGCAGATTGGATTTATGAATGTTGAGATTATGCACTTGATTTTCTTTCAGATTGGATTTTCCTGCAAATTGAATTTTCAGATTAGGGTGGGAGTGGGAAATATGAAGGAGATAACACAACTTTAGGTTTACGTGGGGTGGGTACGGGTAGTTCGGATTTTTTTTATTATAAAAAATGTAAAGTTACAATTTTATCCTCTTAAAATTAGTCAAAATTATGGTCAAAGTTAATTCTATGGTCAACTAACAGTCAAACTAACGGTTTCCATCCATTTGGATTGTGGGTGCGAGTTTTTTTATCGTGGGTGGTATAAATGAAAAGTTTGAACAAAGTTTGCAACTAAATAAAATATTTGGTACCATGACTGCAATTTTTTCTATAAAATATTATTTACCCTAAAACCCATTTCTTAGCCATCGTTGACCAGTTGTACAACGTATAACATTTACGAGAGCACTATATTCCGTTACTCGTCGGCTGCTAGACCGTGTTCCGCCGACGAGGATTTGATAAGCGATGGCGGAGGAAGCTGTATTAGGTTATCTGGAGGAGAATGAAGAGATATCGGATTCGGGAAAATTCTCCGAGGAAAAGGGAATCAGTCACGATGAGATCGTCAATGTCATCAAGAGCCTCAACGGTTTCCGACTCGTCGACGCGCAAGTCAGTATAAACATTATTCTCAGATTGCAATTCATATTTTTTTTAAACTTTATTTTTCATGAAAAAATAGTTTGTCTTGGTGCATTCAGAGGAATTACTAGTGTCGAAGAGTTTTTGCTGCCTGTTTAGCAGTCAGTTTATTGGAGTCGTACAGTGTGTATTTAAAACGTCGTATATTTGATCTGAAGGATAGGAAAATCAAGGAAGAAAGATGGAGAAACTGATTTTTTTTTTTAACTTAAACTAGTACCAAGGGATAAAATTCTGTTGAATGATAAGTAATTTAGCTTCAATTTAGGAAAATAAACTGTCATTTCTATTCAATACGAATTGTTAGCCTGCGACTTTGAATTTGTTGATTCCTTTGAACCCAGATTTCTAGTTGTTGAAGTTTATCTGTTCTTCCAATATGTGAGAACAACATGGCCTGGTTGATGAATTATGCTGCGTGGATATTGTGCAGGACATTAAGAGAGAAAGATGGGGGCTCACCAAGGAGGGGGAAATGTATGCTGAGGCAGGATCTCCTGAAGCCCAACTCTTTTTAGCTATACCACCAGAGGGTATAACACGGGAAGAGTTGCAGGTCATTCCATATTATTTTTCTGGTTCATGGATTCTTAACCTGATTATCATATGAGATTTGTTTATTGTGTATTCTTACAACCAATATCGCTTGCCAATATAGCCTGCCATCTAAGACACTGTAATGGTTTATGTAAGAAAATCAATGAAGCAATAATACAGTCCACCAATAAATTACACCAATCGAATTTCCATATAGCATTACCACCAGGACCTAAAACCACTAATTTTTAACTGCCATAATAAGATTATGACCATTGTCTCTGGGTCTATTTTACCCCCGATCCATGAGGACACCACCTGTGTGCTAATTGATTAAAAGTTACACCCCCAATATTACCTATCTCTCTCAAATTTTCCGAGGCTGCTATCCTTGATTATCAATTATTATGACAGTTCAAAAATGGAAATTTCGAAATTTTACTTCACCTTGGTGTGATGTCAGCAGTGCACATGTCTTTTCCCAGATTAATTTTTATTTGGAAATTTTATGGTAAACTAAAGGAACAGCCTTTTTTTAGAATTTGTACTGTAATTGTTTATCTTGTGACGTATGCAATGCATGAGTTTTGCTGTGTGTGATAGTTTTTCTGTGTTCTAATTGATTCATAGTTCAGCAATCATAAAACTAAAAATTGTTTTTGCTAAAATCGAACTTGTTCTGACTTCATAATATTATCAACTAACATATAGTTTTGGATTTGCAAATCACGTTCTATTTTACATATTACACATTCTTTGTCAGTTTTTTATTCCTTTCCTCGAGTCACGGTTGGTTTTCCCGAGTCAATAGTATCTATATGCTGTACCATACTTGGAATACATGCTGGTGAACTTTTTTTTCTGGATGCAGAAAAAGTTGGATCCCTCAATTTTCAAAATAGGTTGCCAGCAGGCCATAAAGAACAAATGGATAGAGATGGGTAAATCACAGGTGTCCAGGAAGGTAATGCCCCCGAAAATCTGAGCTTTCCAATTTTGTGTGAAAGTTTTATCTTAAGCAATCTTGTAATCATAAATCACGCGATTGAAACAATGGAAACCAGTTTGCTTTTTCTGTTTTTCCCTTACCATTCTTTTTCGTCTTCCCTCCTACTAAAATCACCTTATGCTTATGAGTGCCTTAGGAAATCTGGAATCTTTACCTGTGTTTCCTTTCTCAATTACATATTAATCATCAATATGTTGGATGGTCACAGTGATTAAACATGAATATTTACTTCAGTTCGATATCTGTATGACTGTATCAGTTTGTCAATAAAGTCTTTAATATCTTCGAGAATATCAGGCTTTCTGGTAATTTGTGATTTGCAGAGACTTCAATACTTGCATTTAGATGCCTTTGGTACAGCTTAATCAATCCATTATCATGTTAAAGTCAATCTATATTGCGTACAAATAGACTCTGAATGTTTGGTTGCTTATTTTGCTAATTTTAGTATTGTGGTAGAAGCGCAATGCATGTCACATGTGCATAAAAAGCTGTAGAAATAGTTATTTATTTGCGTGATAGTGGGGATAATTTTATATTTTTAAAAATAATAATGCTTTTCATACGGAACTATTCTTATTTTAATCATTTGATGTAGGTACAACATGTTGATGACAGAGTGAGAGATTTGCTCGTGCAGATTCAAAATGGGGAGGTGCATAATAATTTTTGAATGAATAGCTTTTTATCCATCTTCTCTCTTTTTCCGTATGTAGGTACATACTTGTGCATATGTGTTTATGGCTTCTGACATCAGCTAATCTTTGGAAAATCTTATATTTAAACAATAATATCAAGAATAAATCGAAAAGTGGAAACAGGGCAATGTATAATTTGATTATTACGAACAAAATAAAATATTTTTTAGACGGAGCTGGTCATTAGGTCCCACCAATGGGGTGAATAGAATCCGAGACATAAACACGTTACCGTGTTCCTTAGGTTATATTGGAATTCACGAGCCAAGGAGTTAAGAATAAAAAACATATTATATTTTTCGAGCAGTGGAAAATTATTTTACGGTCCTCATTGTGTATCTAAATAATTGGATCATTTCTTTGTGGATTCCTAACCTTTCTTGAAGCTGTTCAACAAGATGACACACAAAGTTTCAACTTTATTGTAACTACTTTTCCTGAAAAAACGTGGTCTGAATTTGTGTGGTGTTGCTAAAATGTTCAGATGTGCATATTTTTTAAGGAGTGCGTGGAATTTTTTTTATTTTTTATTTTTCATTTTTAGCAAGTATAATTTCGTGTCTCATTCCCTTGTATCTTTCTTCACAAACTAGCAAAGAAAGATATGCTCTCAAAAAATTTCAACGAGGCTTGTATTTGCAAAACTTGTAGTGTGCTGTTGTTATGTGTGTATATACTTTCTTGTTGGATATTAAATAGAGCACCATTTAAGCTTGTCTATTTCCTCGAAGCTTTATTTGCTTTGTGATACAGGGAGATATAAAAGATCTAAAACACAATTTAGATTTATGCATCTCTACTTTATGGCTCTGATAATTTAATTCCCAACTGGTACAATTCTTATATTGCAGGCAGTGAATGCTGAGGATGTTGATGCTCTCAAAAAAAGAAAGCTTATTACTCCACTGTAATTATCTCAATTTGGTTATTGTTCCTGGTTCTTTTTTTCTGAAATGGTCTTTCTAATTGTCTAGTATAGCCTCCATATTACTTCTAGATGTGTTATTTTGTGATCATCTTTTGTGATTGTCTATTTGCTTCTTCTTCAAGGATATGGAAAGGCTATTCAGTTAAAAAGGGTCCTAAATATGCTCCAAAAAGGAAAAAGGTGGCTACTGATCTAACTCGAGAGAATCTGCTAAGGTAATCAATATGTGTAATCAGCATGCTTGGATAGTATAGTTTGATAAACATATCATATAGCAAATAGAAATAATAAACAGTTGTTCATGGCAACATGGTTTTATACATTGCAATTTGCACCACAAAACTCAAATCCTCCTTTTTATTTCTTTCTTTTTTTTGTGTGTAATGTTATATAGGTTTTCTGTTAAAAAAGTTCTGTAGCTTACTTTATAGATTCTTGATCTGAAAAAGGTACTAGTTGTTTGTTGCCTCAGTGTGTAGAGATAGTGAATGGGAAGGTCTCCCTTTCTATTTGTTCAGGATGTATGCTTTTCTAGTAAGTTATTTCTTTAAAAAAGGGGAAAAAACAAGAGTCCACATGCGAGCAAAAAGAGTCTAATCCGTGCTCGATACTTTGTTATATGAATAACAAGAAAGACTGTAATATCTAATATTATCTTCCCCCTGTTTTTCTTTAAAGGGGAGATTGGAGGGAGCTAGAGTTTAAAGAGTACAACTTCCTTGCGAAGGGCCAGCCAACTGAAGGTGGCTGTCTCCACCCATTACTCAAGGCATGGTTTTGATACTAGCTTTTTACTTGTTTAATCTTCAATTTCATCTGTATTTTTGCTCTTTATCTTTTTATAATTGAAATGTAGGGGTTAAACGTTTCAAATTGAACCAAATTGTATTGCAGTTTGTGTTTCTTCAAAGCAAAATTCGTTTACTTAGTCATGGAAAAAAGTTGGCAAAGAACCCTATAATTAAATGATGAGCAATAACTTATTTGTTCCCACGCATTTGCTTCCGTAAACATTCAGGTTTTTTAATATATTCATGTCCACTGTTATTGTTTCTTTTTCTTAAAAACTGCCGTAGGAAAAAACCATCTTGCAACTAGCAAGACACCCGATTGAGTTTTAGTCTCATTTGACTTCTCTACTTTTTCACAGTATATAATGGAAGTGCCTTTTATCATCTCATTATTCACATTCATCCAAGGTAGATTATTTCATTTTGTTGCAGGTGCGGCGTCAAATGCAGATGATATTTCTTCAGATGGGGTGAGGAGTTTTTTTTTTCCTTCTTATTTTAGTCTTTCAACTTACTATATCCTCCTGTAATGGTCATCATTGCTGATTTGCCATTCACTGCATGTAGGTTTGAAGAGATGCCAACTAACAATTTTATTGAAAGCAGGTAAACTATCTTGAAAGCCATGTTTTACTGTACAATTCCCAGTTACGCCTCTAGATAATACCTACAATTGCTAGCTTTTTAACAGGTGGTGATCACGAGAGAGTGCACTAGAAAGTAGTCTCTCAACTACTGTAGAAGATAAACATGATGACACGTCTTCAACTGAGAAATGGGGCTCCAACCCCTCTCTTTCCCAAGAGTCTTCTACACTCCTAACATTATTTTTTCTCTGAATCAAAATAAAAAAAGTAAAGGAAAAAGGGGCTCCATCCCCCCTCTTTCCAAGTGTACCCCCTTTCCCTACCTTTTCTCCTTTAGGGTCTTTCTGTCGGTTGGTTTAATCCTTGTATACATGTAGTATATTAAGATGCAGCTGGTATAAATCTATGATGGTTTTGTTGGGTTTTGCAGCTTCTGGAACTTTGATGCACTGTTCCAGCCTCAACAACACCCAGCTCGTGATTCGCATGATACATTCTTTTTGAAAGGTAGGTTTGGCTTCTTTTTTTTTTGTTTTTTATCATCTTGGATCTCTGGTTTCTCGTCCAATCTTCGTCAGATTTCTTATGGTAATAAATATTTCTCAGAGCCTTCTACTACAAAAATGCTTCCTGAGGATTATGTTGAGCGGGTGAAGGGAGTTCATGAATCTGGTGGTTATGGGTCCAGGGGGTAGGCGACTGCATAATGTTTACATTTATTCAGTGTCACTCTTGAAGGTTTGTGTCAAATTTTCCATTTCTTCTAGGTATGGGTATGAATGGAAGAGGGAAGAAGCAAACAAGAATCTTCTGCGGACTCATACTACTGCCGTTTCCACCAGGATGCTGTATGCACTTGCACAGGTATTTTTTTTCCCCCTTTTAAGGCCTGTTTACAAGTGATCTTTTTTTTGTGAGCACAAGCTTTCTTGTTTTCGCTCCTTTTCTCTAATAAGTGTGATGTATTTGAATGTTTAGATTAAAGTCCCATCCGTTTGATCCATTAACTAGTTCTCTCTTTTTTTTTCTTCTTCATTTTATAAGCTTGTATTTTCTGTTCCTTGAACTATGTAGCATCTTTGTATTTATTTGCTATTCAAGCATCATATTTCTTTGGTGAATATCTGGCTACTTATAGAACTCTTTGCAGTAGAGTTCCCTTCATAAGAAGTTATTCATGACCCAAGATATTAGGCACATCTATGTTGAATTTAAAGGTTTATTTATTGAATATTATTAGTAAGACCCGCGTTGCTGCATGTTTATTCTCTCTTTGGTTTTTGTGCAATATTATTTTCAAAGATGTCACACAAGGTGTTGGGAATGGGGATGAGGTTTCTGGTAGCATATTCTTTACAATTCAACTACATCCACTGTGCTATCATTCAAGGAGCTTTTCTTTTGGGCAGGACTTTGCTCCCAAAAAGTACTATTCAATAGATCGTGTTTTCAGGAATGAAGCCGTGGATCGAACACATCTTGCAGAGTTCCACCAGATAGAAGGTATTTTGCATTCTTTATAGAACTCATGGGGTGATTGCACAGCTGTTGCTATTCAAATTTAAAACCAAAATTATGATTACCAGTGGAAGGATCAACCCTAGCTATTAGTAGTATCACAAGTCAATATATTTTCGTTGATGACATTGGTTTAGTGAATCCAACATCGTAAATCCAACATTGTACGGTGGGAGGAAAGAAATTTGCTTATGAATTTGAAAGCTTTTCTAGAATTATCTGCTTGTTCTTGGGAAGCTTCCACGTGCTTCTGGGTATGGGCCACTGGGGATATGGAACCTTTTAAGTTGTCCAAACTCGATGACTTGGCTATATTCATTTCGATTACGTTTTGGAATATGTAACAGGAGTCGCTACAGTAAGTATGAGTTTATAGATAATCCTGTTTCTTTGGTCGACAGTGCACTACTGCATTTCATCTTATTATCTGACTCTCTTTTGTATGGTGGTTAGGTTTAATTTGCGATCGTGGGCTTACTCTTGGACATTTGATAGGCGTTCTCGAAGATTTCTTCTCTCGTCTGGGTAAATATATCTACCTTTTATTTTAGGAGCTCCTCTCAAGCATTTTACATTTTTATGCTCTGATAATTCAAGATTTGGTCGACATGAGATTTGTTAACCACTGTCTCATAACTTCTCATGATGTGCCTTTGGAAATGATTTTCGGATGGCAGAGTGCTGACAAATGTCCTTGTATCTCTTGATTTCAGGAATGTCCAAGCTTAAATTCAAGCCTGCTTACAATCCATATACTGAACCCAGCATGGAAATCTTCAGGTAGTAAAGAAAGATCATCGCTTGAAACTACTGTAACATTTAAGAAAATAGGCTAATTCAATCGTTTTCCATCAGTTATCATGAAGGTTTACGGAAATGGGTCGAAATTGGAAACTCTGGAATGTTCAGACCTGAAATGCTGCTTCCCATGGGGCTTCCTGAAGATGTTCAGGTTATTGCATGGGGTCTTTCCCTTGAAAGGTTGGCAAAATCTTAACATTACCATTACATTTCTTTTGGATTACGATATTATTATTTTACTTAATTGACATTCTTGTAGTCTTTTCTTGTACCTCTGTTACTAATCATTTTTATGCTCTCATTTTTTTTCTTCACTTCTACATCAGACCCACTATGATACTTTATGGGATCGACAACATCAGAGATCTCTTCGGACACAAGGTAAAGTTGTCTTGTACATTTTGTACTGCTGAGGTGTGTTTTCTTACAAACTAGTTCGGTTGCATGATCTGTGGTCGGGTTTTGCAGGTGGATCTTGGTCTCATTAAGAGAAACCCATTATGCCGCCTTGGTCTTTAATTGGTCCAGACCATTCCGTATGAGAGTTTTTCCTTCAGTTATTTTATAGTGACTTGCTGTTCAAAAACCTTAAAATTGGATTCCAGATACAAGCAATTGAATAGTGAGTTTTACAAACCAATTTGTAGCAATGATAAGAAGTTTTCTGAGGCATCTGTCGTGGGTATTGTTAGATGGTAATTTTTCGAAACATCAACTTTGGATCGAACCCTTTCAAGGCTATGAAATCAATTCCCTTGCAGAGGATTGAATTCGTTACTTGGCAATGTCGATTTATTTTGTTTCCTCTTATCTTAATGTGCTGCAACATTTATCTTATCATTTGTTTGGTCATTTGCTTTGGTGGTAAGGTGGAAATATGGTACTGAACCATAAAAGTAAACCCTAAAGAATAAAACTAGGTTAAAATTTGATCTATTTTGCTATCCAATCACGTACTAATGAGTCTTGGTGATTGTAGATTGTAATGGCTTATATTATCTTATCATCCATTAACAAAAAGATTATTCATAATAAAAAGGGATTCACAAATCCTTTATATTTATCATTTATTTCAATTCTTTTGGTTTAATGATCAGCAACAAATGGCTCTCTTTTGGTAGCGCATTTGACGAGTCAAAAGTTACTTCTTGAAATCAAGAAAATACTTTTAGGCCTGTTTAAATTATTGTGTTAGAAGAGCTTTTAAAGCAAGTTGTCAAATTGCTTTGTCATAGAATTCTTTTAAATAAAAAAAAAATAGAAGTAAAAGTAAAAGTAGAAGTCGTGCCAAATGTCCTAAAATATCCTTCTATTGTTACATTTACAACAAGACAACATATGTAAGTTCAAACAAAACAATATACAATGAAATGTGTTATTCCTACCTAAATATGTGTTCTTGAGAATCACACAGCATTGTTTTCTATGACCGCGTCATCTGGACTGTCTAATGGCTGATCATACATGATACCAGCTTCAAAACTTCTGCGTCTCCCCACTGCAGCGTCGACTCTTTTAGTGAATTCTTCGTCCGTGCTTGCCAACATGTACCGCAGCTTAAAATTAACCCGATTTTCCACCATGATCTTGTGCCTAGGAATTATTCGCTCATCAAGAGAATAACTGAAGAACCTGTAGTATTCCGAGAACACATTATTTGAAGAATGGCACAGATCATGAATACATAAAGATGAATAAAATGGAACTTAAATTTGAAGATAATAGCTGAAAAACCTGTAGTAATTCAGAACTCAGTATTCGAATAATATCTCATCATGCATACATAGAGATTCGCGCATGCACACAGCCACTCATGAGCATATATATATGTCTGTATATTTATGAATGGAGAACTTTGATTTGGAGGTTTACATTGACAATGTGTACCTTGGAAATTCAATGAGATCCTGCAAAGGACGAATCATCACTCTCCTTAAGTAACGGTACTTGGGACGAAGGACATCTATGTTATAGCGAAGTAGCATCGGAAAATTAGCTACCATTCCACCCAATACTGGAAGTGGTATACCAAGTGATAAAAAGTATTTCACATTGTGATCCAGTTTATTCACAATGCTGCATCCTAAAAGCTCTGGCCCTAAAGCAATCACCTTCCCTATGTTCTGTTGGGAAACCCCAGCTTTTGTCAACAAGAAAATGACCTGCATAAATGCAATAATTGGGGGAAGATACCAAACTTAGAGACGGGAATTGACATTAAACTTTAGGCATCCAGCAACACAATCGTTCATAACGACGATGATAGAATTACCCAAGGAGCATTCATTAACTGTTTTTTCTTGTAAAATTATGACAGAGGTAACAAGAGACGAGCAAAGAGAGAAAGAATTGTACCACTGGGCGTATCTTTTTGTAGAGGCTGTATGTTAATAATGAGGGAAATCTGGCAAGAACACTGCCAATGGCATCTTCTTGAACGCCTATATCTCGTAAAAATTGAACCTTCAAAAACCCGAAGTGGAATTTGTTAGTCTTAGCAATGAAGTACTTCAGCAGCATTTACAAATTCCCACAAATTAGTTCTGTATTTTCTGCAGTCATTAAATATAAGTTGATAAGAAGTCCAACAGCATATAGTAATCCAGCAAGTTGGATATCGCGTTGGATTCACAATGAGCATTTCAAAGAGAGTATTAAAGTTTGATTATATGGCAAGAAAGACATACCTTTGGCACAATGGTATTCTCAAGATCGACACAAAAAATCATTGGCTTCATAGTGAGGATTCTTCTCATACCATCTTTAGAAATCCCTAGGTAATAGAAATACTTAACAAGAGGCTTCCATCTATCTTCAATGCTGCAAATCATCAGTTGTGGTTTAAATGCTAAAAGTCTCCCTACATCTTCATTATTGAGGCCAAACTCCTTTAGATAAGCTACCTGCATAAAAGGGAACCAAACATCGCTTTGTAACTTACTCAAATTCACACTTCTATAAGCAGACATTTCCCGGCATTATAGGGACAATTACACTGAAGTAAATGCTGTACCATCTTGAAATATTCTATAAACCACGATAATAATGGGAAAACTGAAAAAAAGGGAGTTTAAATAGGTACCTTTTGGTTCATCTCTTCCACAGAGAGGTAACCAAACACCTTGGGACAGTCAAAAAGCATAGTTCCAAAGTCATTTCTATCCATACCCATGTTCAAATAAAATTCCGTTCGAAACTTCACTTCTTCCATGTTAAAGGACAAAATCTCGGGACATCGACTAATGACATAGCCCATCCAATCCCTCCTCAGGCCATTGTCCTCTAAATACTCAACAATCTCATCCAAGTCCTCTAAGCTGCGTTCCAATATATTTTCACCAGCTCGTGTCAATGCCACACCTATAAATCGCCCATTCACATGGATCAACTTCAACCATTCAGCCAGCCTTCTTATGGAATTAAGATTTCCTCTTGAAGTGCATATAAGCCTCCCAATTTGGGGATACGAAAGTGAATTGTGTTTCAACCATCTGCAAGAAATTCAGTGTAGAAAGCCTTCTTCTCATGTATTCACTTCTTTTGTGCAATGTGATATAAAAGAATAATTCATTCAAGATGCTAAACTAATAAACAACACAAATTGTTAACACATAAGTTCAACCATATTGTCCTATGGAAGTGGCAAAGGCAAACAATCCTTACTCTACATAAAGATCATGTACCTTATAAGAGGCACAACATTAGAGTCATCAATGAAGGCCTCGGCACGAACATTATAGGACGACATTGAGAATTCGGGCAATTGCTTCATGGAAGCAGCTTGAATCATAACAAAATCGATAAAATCGGACAATTCCAAAACCAAATTATTAACATAAGTAATCCCAAACTTGCCCTTTCTCATAGCATCTTTGAAAATCTCCACAGTCACTTTCCTCCTTATCTCAAGCGCCTTCATTAGCATCCCATCATCATCAAATTTTTCGCTTTTGGAAGAACTATTAACAGTTTGTGAAGAAGCGTTAGCGTTAATAGAGCCGGGAAATTGAGGTGCCCTTTTGTTTACACGTGAAATTTCCAACTGCTTTTCTTTAGATTCTCTGCGCAATAGTGGTCGATTTTCATGTGGTGAATGTGAGTTCTGTTGTTCTTGGGGAGATAGGTGGTGGAGGAGGAGGGCGGTGGACTGGGCGTTATGAGTTCGCAGAATGTTATCTTCATTATGCAAATTGGTGGCGGTATCTTGATTTTGAAGTGCTTGGGGTTGGTGTTGGTGGAGGGAATAGGAAATTGGGAAGAGGTGGGGGAATTTGGAGGTGTTGGTGGTTGGAGCAGCTTTCCGGTTGGTTTGGTGGAGGAGGACGGCGGAGAGATGGTGGAGTTGAAGCTGAGACGCCAGCATCTTTCAACGGAGGGAAATTGGATTGACGTTTTCGTGGTAAAAGAAGGTTAACTAATGGGAAATTACAACGTCGGTCTCCATATTTGATACTTATAGCAATTAAACCTATAACTTTTATATTAAAGAGCGTAGAAAGTCCATCATTTCAATTTCATTCACCTTAGTCCCAATGAACATTTTCCTTCCAATTGAAGGGCAAAATGTCATAGTTTAATGGTGAGGTTTATTCAATTTTCCTTTTCCTTTTACATATTCGTTCGTTATGTTTTGTTTTTCTATATTTTTTTTAATTGTTCATTATTAAACGCTTATTTTTTTTTAAAAAAAAAAAACATTTTTTTCCATTAAGACTTAAGAGTTATAGGTCCCGACATAAGTTATATAATTAATATTTATTAGAGATATATATCGTATCAGAAATGATCTAATGAGTACCGGTGCTCATCTTATCCTAAGCACCAATGAGTTGGTATATTAATTCATTGGTGGATTGGAACTCACAAAATCTTTATCCACCAATGAATTAATGTGTCAACTCATCGGTGTTTAGGATAAGATGAGCACCGGTACTCATTATATCATTTCTGTATATCGTATATCTGAAATACAATCATTTAAGATTTTGCTAGATTTTATTTCATTCCCAAATATACTCATGCCATACATTATTTGAAAGTTCGAATTTTATTTCCAACATAGAGACGTTTATTGGTGGACCCCCACTATTGGGTGAAATGAAATAAGGGTAAATTGTTACTTTTTAGACTTTGTAAAAATAAAATTGAAAAATAGTGATATATGGTAGTTGGATGTAGGTGGAACATTACTCAAATTGACGAATGCACATATTTTTTTAAGTTAAGCGAATTGTTCAATAATATGCAGAATCAACTAAAAATAGATTTTAAGTCGGGCCAAACAAGGGCTAAAAAATTATTTGAATTTTACTCATTACAACAATATAAAAAATGTCCAGTCAAACTAATGGTGCAAATAGGACTAACTTGCTCGTGTTTAAATACTATGAATCAATTTACTAAAAATGTTTAAGTACAAGGACGAACACTGCAATTCTCCCTAAACTAAAAGTCGGGTTACCGTGATGAAATGAAAACCGAGTTCTCGCACCATCAAATCTACGAAGTTGGAAGCAAACTTACAGAATGATACGAGGAGTAATAGTGATGAATGATCGAGGCAAGCCTCGTCTCGTCAAATTCTACGAATTTCAGGTTTTTCTATCAAAGAAAATTAAATCAAAACATTCCTTTGTTAAATCATTACTTGATTCAATTTCAATTTCCGGTTTGTTTTCTTAATTTTTTTAATCGGATGAATCGTTCATGATTTAAATCGTATAATTAGCCTGCGGAGAAGCAGCAGGAGCTCATTAGAAGCATTTACAGAGGTAAGTTCGTCTTTATTTACAGTCAGTTATTTTTTAGACTTTCCATCTGGCCCTTTTTTTCCTTTTATTTCTGCATCTATCAGCTATTTATGTTTTTTCCTCCTGCAACATTGATAATTGTCTATGTTTTGGCCTCCTGCAAGACAATATTTACTGTTCATTACGTTTAACAAGAAAGTAACTCTTCTTAATTTGTAAAGTTGACTTACTGAGAAGTTATGTGGTGCAGTTCTATGCAGTAGAGCTGAAAATGTGAGCAATTTCGTTAAGGTCGAATCGCTATTTGGACCGGTATTAGCTCTGTCCTCTCCGGTCTTAGACTGATTTTGTGTGCTGGGTGGGGTCCTTCCCGCTCCCGCATTTTGTGTGTGTGTTTTTTTTTTTTTTGGGGGGGGGGGGGGGGAAGCTGGGGAAAGTAGTAAACACTGTATCTATACTTGTTTGAACTGATCAATGATAATTTTTTGTTTCATAGTGGAGTATCCTGGGGGTATTGCACCTGAGTGCATCTTTTACTAAAAAAACTCTAAATATAATACTTGCAGGATGTGCGGCTTGTGTACAAGACTTATGCGACTTTGTACTTTGTATTCATATTTGATAGCTCGGAGAATGAGCTTGCAATGCTAGATCTCATGCAAGGTACATCTAATCCATTATTTGATACGTTCCAACTTTGTTGTCTTGAACTTTTACTCTCACTTCATTGACCTTCTGCATAATCGAAGCTGTTAAAATATTAAATAATGACTTAGCTTAGAAGCATAGATCAAGTAAGAGAGAAATGTGATTCAACAGTATGTCAGTTTCTGCCCGAGTGCTTATTTAAAATGTATAGGTGATTCTACTATATACAATTTGTATCCTGGAACATGCATAACCAGGTTGATTTGTGAATTGTGTCTCCACTTATTGTTATTATAATATTTACTAGCTTTGGACATGTAGTACAAGCCTATTTATTAAGCTTGGTGATTTTATTTAGCTTTGGAACTATTTCCAGTTTCCTACAAAAGTAGAAGAGCTTAAAAACCTAACCATTGTTCTGTTCCCATTCTGAAATTCGCTGTTGTAGTATTGTGTTTCAGAGACACTTGTCTATTTTTATTGGTGTATTTGTTTTACTCTATTAAACTACAGTTTTTGTTGAGGCATTGGACAAGTGTTTCAGTAATGTTTGTGAGCTTGACATCGTATTCAACTTTAACAAGGTTAGTACTCTTCTCTTTAAACTTAGAAAAACATGTATGGAAATAACTGTTGGTTTTAAGCACATTGGTACACGATCATCCTCACTACTATTTCCAAAGAAAAGTGATGCAAAATCATTCTTACTGTACTACTAGTTGATTACGGCTAACCTTTTTCAATTGTTATTGCCATTGTGACTTGCGAGCATGTAACGAGAAATTGACAGTTATTTTTGCTAAGCTCAACAAGATTTCACGTGATCAGAAACTGATATGATGGAGCCACCTAGCATTGGTTGACGTCTCTTAACTTATTTAGGCCATAGCACTTTGTATTTAATTTCACTAATGAATTTGTTGCTATTACATATGCTCATACCAATATATTGGAAACTGCTGTGGTACTTTTTAAGATTAATGTCAGTGCAAAATGCATTGAATTTCTGATTACTCATTGATACATGCCTTTTTTGCTGAGTGCTTAATCTATACGAAATTCCAAGAAGCCTGTCAAATCCTTGTTCTGTAGAATCATGCCAGTGGCTGCCCATGGGCATATTTCACGTTTGAGCTTGTTGCAGGTGCATACTATTTTGGATGAGTTCATTTTGGGCGGTCAAGTTCTCGAGACAAATTCTTCAGAAGTTGTGAAGACAGTTGAAGAAATCTCAAAGTTCTTTCTCCCTCCTTCACTCTGTGTATGTTCGATTAGCTTCAGATATTCTTATGGATGTTAACCTCTTATTTTATGCAGGATGTAGAGGGCTGCAAATTCAATCATGGCTGCTCCATCAATTACTGGCTGGAAGGGTAGATAGCAGCTGTATTGCTCTAGTAACTTCCTTGATCACAATCTTATGTTGACGGGACAAATGATGAGATGTTAGAACTTTTCAATATTGTGTTGCTGCTGATTTATGAATATTTTTTGCAAGAAAAATATTGAGATTATTTTCTATATTGTGTTGTGTGTCCATGCAGTCAATAAACTAATGTAAGTAGCATCTTTTTCAACTGAGATTATTCTGCCTATAATCTAATGTCAGTCTTTTGTTCTCTTGTTCTGGTGACACATGAAAACTCGTTGCAAAGCTTATTAGTATAATTGGGTTGATCTTTAACTTTTTGAATAGATAACCATGGGACTTGTTGCAATATGTGACCGTTTATATGTTTGCTTCGTGGGAACAGTTTCTCTTAAAGTTTGTGTGTGCGCTGTTGCTGGTAAATGTTGGAATTTAAAGATATGAAGCCAAATGCTAGAATCTCGCAATGTTCTTGCATTAAATCTTGATTTTAATTGCATGTTTTGTGGCTGGAGGACCTATAATAATTGATCTATTTAACGAAGGCATTGCCCAAGTTGTCTGTACATCTCTACCTGTTAGATGTTTATGTATACATTGCTAACTTCGAACATTCAGCTGTAATCATATTTTTTTATTTCTCATGACTCCATAGCTTTCTGAAACCATTCCTTTTTTTAGCTTCTGGTAGAGGAAAGGAGTAATACTTGATAGCTGACAAGCATTGTCGATGAAAGGAGTATCTAACATGATTAGGGGAGTCAAATGTGTTGTGTGGATTGGCCTTTTCTCCAGAAAGAAAAGAGTGTAAGAAAACCTATGCAAACTTGCAGAAAAGTTCTCGCCTTGCTTGGATTCTTCTGAAAAAAACAAAAAGTTGTATGGTTCTGTAGGCATGCTGCAATTTATACCTATAGAATCTAAATCTAGGATGATTGGTATATTATTTACGAGTAAAAGGGTATATACAGGTGAGGAGTGGGTACAATTTCCTAATGAAAGAATAGAGGAGTGAGGCAGGAACCAGAACTAAAACACTTTATAGATGGTGGAAATCAGTGTGGAAGCTACAGATACCGCCCAAAATCTAGTTTTTTTTTTTCTTTTCTTTTTTGGAGAGTTTTGTCACATTGCGCAAGTAATTTGGTGAGGCAACGCATAAATTCTGATGGCAGGTGTGGACGATGTAGATTATCTGAAACTGATACGCACACACTCTTCGTGTGTTCACTGGGGTCATACGGAAAGAGGTGGGTTATTGGTTCATTATTAAGTCGTGTGATCATGCAGACATAGCAGAAATGTTGGGGTATTTTACAGCATTGCACGGGGGGTGATTTTGAAGGGATTATTTACACTTAATAAGATTTAAATATGAATACAGACAACAAGAGATTACACGAGGTCCCATGGTCTAGTGGTTAGGACATTGGACTCTGAATCCAGTAACCCGAGTTCAAATCTCGGTGGGACCTTTTTTGGTATTTTTGGAATTTGAAACAATGAAGACTTTTACGTTTTCTTACTTCTTTTCTTCTTCCAAATTGGAAAAAACGTACGCAATACTATAATTTACAATTCAAAAGAGAGCCAATAGAAAATATGAATTACAAAAAATTGTAGCTTGTTTTAACTGAAAACAAGCCTTCAGACAGATGAAGCACAAAAGACAACCACTACCTAAGCTTGTTGTGTCTCCTCCCCAGAAAAAGGGAGTCTAAAACCTGCAAACAATTTGAATTTTTCACTGTCCACCGACCCATACACAGGTCGACGGGAGAACCCCGAAAACGGAGGAAATGTACAGGGGAAGATCTAACAAGCAAGACATCCAAATGTGGAGACTGCTGTGTTATTGAGAAAGAATGAAGTGCAATAATCTTCCATTTAGTCCTGATTTACTCGCTCTACGTCTTGCAAGTTCAAGGGTTCGGGGAAGATCTCTTTGGAGTGTCTTCTGGTTGAAAACGAATGACCATGTCCTTCATCGTTTTGCCCACTTTCTTGAGAACCCGAATGTTTTAAAATGCTAGCATGTTCTGCTTTTCGAGAAGGGACAGCTGGCATGGCCGCCACATCTGAAGAGCTTTGACGCCAGCTGCCAAATAGGGCAGCATTCCACGACCCTCTCGAGGAAGTAGTTCTAAGCATTGCTGAGCTCGTATGCTCGTCTCTTACAACTTTCAAAGGGTTCTCCAAAGCTTTAAGAATATATCTCATTAGAGGCCGTCTTGTGGGCTTGGGATTGAGGCAAGATTTCGCAACAATTGCCATGGCCCACACTTCCTCCAGCAGATCCTCGTCTATGATTAATGAGGGGTCGACAATGTTTGCCACAAGTTCCTTATCGTATATACTGATGTAAGGTAATGTCGCTTCTAACCACTCCGTCGTGGCATTGGTTGATGAACTGATACCCAACTTGCCTGTTACGAGCTCGAGCAAAACCTTTCCGAAGCAGTAAACATCATAAGCACACGTTGCATTCGTCATACCTGGACATTTTGGAACACAGAATATTACAAATCTTTAACCACTACAAAACTAAATAGACAAAATTATGAAGCTTAGTCAAAAGATTAATTGCTAAATCACAGTAAATGTCCATGTTTCCTCCTTTCCATCTATGTTGCTCGGACTCTCTATTTCAGAGAAAGTACCCGTGTCGGACACACGTGACAAGGATAAGGGCATGGGATCCTTCTCAAATCCTTTAAATCAAAAGCGGATCCTTTTATATCGTTTTTGTATACATATCCCTAAAATGCAACTAAAATTATAAGTATACAAGTTTCTAAAGTAATTTTAATTTTATAAGATGTATCTATGTACTTGTGTCTAAATTTTGGATCATTTTTAACGGCATCCCCATATCCTAAATTTTAGAGAAAAAAATTCGACTCCTGAATATGCACCCCATACCAGACATCCACGCCCGAGTCCAAGCAACATAGTTTTCCGTAAATGGTACTTCTTTTAGGAAAATTTGTCTGTTTCTAGATTCTAAGACAAGGAATAATTCAAATGAATGGTTCTCAAACTGAAAGAGTGAAGAGCTTAATTGGAGTTTCATCAAATATTAGATGGGTATCTGAAGGAAAATATCGGGAATAAATCGGAACGTGAAGCAATAACCAATATTTATTGCTTTGGTAGTCTGAGCTCTCGGGTTAGTTTTCTTCCCACCATCAAAGCAAGCAAATGTAATTAATATGTTTTGGAAACTTGAACCAATGATAAGCAGCAGTTGCCCTCTAACTATGAATTCTAAAACCAGTGGTTCTGCATTTCAAGAATATAAAACGAGACTTGATGAAATTTCTATTCTCTAATCTTTGGAGTAGGATTGTAAATCCAGATCGAATGAATATGGCATTGTTTTGGCAAGGAAATTTATTCGGTGGCATTTTACTGCCCCACCAATTATAGAGAGAGGACAGAAACAATGATAGGAAGATAACTAAAGTTTTAAAGAAATCCCACGTACCTGAAGTACCTTGGTCTGATGTCCTGCATATAGGGAAACAAAAACAGTGAGAACCTCGATTAAGTATTGAGAAGAAGAAAAAATGTAGCTTTGATGGACAAAAATACTCACGGTGGCAACCGCAGCAACCTTGTGATTCTATTTTGATGTGTGTCCCCCTCTTGAACACAAACTTCGCTCAAGCTTCCTAACCGCACTTCAAATTTATCATCAAGAAGTATGCTACTGGCTTGAATGTCCCTTCAAGAACAAAAACAAATAACTATCACCATTAAAATGAACGTCGAGCAGAGGTAGGTTAAAGGAGAAAAAAATTTAGCAAAAGCATTCATTGATTAAATAGAAAAGCTGTGAAAGATTTCACTTGTGTTTAAGACAGTCACCAGAACCAGAACGACAAAAAAAGAAAGCAGTTAACAAGATTTCATGACGCACGGAACATGTAACCTCTAAACTCCACAAAATTATAAATTTTCATGGTGGTTTGTATCACTAGAGCAGGAATTATTCGATGAACTTTTGGAACTGTACTAGACACCAGGGAAATAATGTACTAAGCCTAATTTTAGTGTTCATATGAGATCTCCCATGTGTCTACGGTGATTAAGAAAAGAAAAAAGTTGATTGCTAAGAGTATAACAATTGTAGCTCATATAATTAAAAGGTGAAAATTACCTCTCGGGTAAATTGGTTTCTTGAATAACTATAAGAGTATTTGTACCTAACGGTGTTCGATTTTACTGGCTGCAAAGTTGTAGGGCAGTTGCCCTCCCAAAGTAGACGGTACGCAATGAATTAATGACTTGGGTACATATGTCAGGTAGTTACAAAAAATACTATAACAGTGATATTTTTTCTCAATAAATCTAATATAATGAAGTAAAGCAGCATCTCCATGCTGTACGGTCATTTAACTACAAAGGAGGTTAAGCACCACCAAAATTGTGAAAGGAGGTAAAGATAGCAAGAATGTGACAGAGAAATGTATGTACAAAATTATGAGTTTTGTGCCTCCTTTGAAGGCAATCATTATTGCTCTTCCAAGTATGACCAGAAATTTCTTGAAGTTGAGTGGTTAATTGACAGTCTCGAATCACCCCATTAGCAGCCTAAAGTTGTGGGGAATACCTATAGCAATCACGAGCAATCATCATTTTCCAGAAACAGTACTCTATTATTGATTTACTTCTATGTCCTAGTTTCGAATCAGACAACATCTACTATGAAATGCAAACACATTAAATGAAAGCAGCTCCGGCACCCAACACGAATTTCCTCCATTCTATACACTAGGCCCTCTATTTAGAAATTAGATGCAAGTGAGTGTCATGCGTATGCATCTAGGGCGACAAACTAATCCTTAAGTATAACATTCAATTTTTATGCGTCCTAATTCCTTTTATTTTTCATCAATGAATGAGAAGTCTATCACAGTTTGATAAGTACTTTTTAATGCACACCTACACATAGAGCTCCAAATATGCGCAGCTATCAGCTTAACATGGAAATGGCACTGTTCAGTAGTAATTTAAGGCAAAAAGGAAAATCACAGAAACGAAAAAATTGCAAACCTAATTCCAAGAATACCTATGAACAAATGGTGGAGTACATTCATGGTGTAGGTAAGATAAACCTTCTGCAGCTCCAATTGCAATTTTCAATCTCGTTATCCAATCCAGTGACTGTAAACTGTCATCATCTGAATTTGTTTTCTTGAACAATGAACTGGATAGGTCTCCATTTGGCATGTATTTGTAAATGAGAAACTTCTCGTTCTCATTCTCCAAGCAGTGTCCCAATAGAGGTACCAATCTTTGATGAGAAACCTTGCTAAACAGGTCCAATTCTAACATATATGTTTCCTTTTTGACCGATGAACGCAAATCGATTTTTTTGATGACTATAGGGTTCGCATTCTGAAGGATACCGCGGAAGAAGTCACCAGAATGGCCATTCTTGATCAGATTTACATAACCGAATTCACCCGTGGCTTCAAGAATTTGCTTGTAGGTAAATGTGTCTCCTAGACTAGAAAAATTTAGCGAAGCTTCAGGAGTTGAACTTCCATTTGCAGGAACAGGCCCCACGACAACGCCCCTCTGGTTTGTTGCGCCATTTTTGCGCTTGCATAAAATCTGCAGTACAAACACAATTGCCAAGAGTGCAATGAGCCCAGAAGCCCCCAAAACAGATGCCAGAATTATTATTTTTCGGTGGCTCTTGTCAGATTTAGGTGGAAGAGGCTGAATGCCATTTGGCATTCCAAAATTATCAAACACCAGGCCCATCTCGGCATAGAACGATGTGCATTCACTGACACTCCTTTGACTTGCCACATTCCGAAGGCAGTTCCTACTTAAAGTTGTGTTTCTACTAGCATAATCTGGAACCCTACCTTGGAGATAATTACCCGACACATCAATAAAACCGAATCTCCTTATTACAGATGTAAGATTCCCATAAAAAAAATTCTGTGAAATGTTAAATACGGCAACACTGGCATTAACATTCAAGCTAAGATTGGGCATTGTACCAGTAAAGTTGTTACTCGAGGCATCTAGAAACCGCAATTGGAGCATTGACCACAGCACATATGGAAAATCACCAGTGAAGCTATTATGGCTCAAAACCAAATACTGCAACTGAGTCAAAGGGGAAAACAAATCACCAGGCAATGTTCCAGATAGGATATTATGCCCAATTATCAATTTCTGCAAGTTTATCAACCCTCTCAAATCGGTGGGAATGGATCCCAATAATGAATTAATACTGAGATCAAGGTCAACCAGATTGGAAAGGTTGCCGAATTTGGCAGGTATAGAAGATGACAAACTGTTGCCTGAAAGATTCAAGTACTGAAGCCTAGACAAAGTGCCAATTTCCGGAGGAATTGACCCAGAGAAGAAATTCAAAGACATATCAAGCAAAGTAAGGTTCCTGAGGGCTGAAAATGACCCCGGAATCAATCCTGAGAGGGAATTCCGCGAAAGATCAAGTACAGAAAGGCGCAACAACCGACCTAAACTTGTAGGAACTATTCCAGTAAGATTATTATCAGACAAATAAAGTTCAGCTAAGCTACTCAAATTGCCAAGAGTAAATGGAATAGCACCAGCAATTGAACAAGACCGAAGATCAAGCACTTGGAGTGAGCCAAGTCTAAGACCAAACCACTCAGGAATAGAACCCGGAAGTGCCAAATTCGAAGCATTGAATGAGGATAAAAAGGTGAAACTCTGAAGGGCATCCACCGAGAACTGGGGGTTTTGACTTCCCTTTCGAGTCCTCATGAACCCGGAAACGTTGATCCCTGTAATACGCCCATTTGTGCATTTGATTCCCGCCCAGGCAGTACATGGGTCGGATTTTATAGGCCACTCTTTTGCCCTCAACCCTAATGAAGATCTCAGTTGAAGCAGAGCCAATCTTTCTTGCCTTGACACCAAGAATTGCTGCCCTACTGTACAATCAATTAGCAAGAAAAACGACACAACACAAACCAAAACCACCCTGCTACACCGATCCACCATACCTTCATTGAACTTCAAATAAAATTAGCATCACATTCATACATACCCCTTACACTAAATAGATATTGGGTTTAGAAAAAATCAGGATTCATAGAGTTACAAAGGAATAAACATTTGTTAATTATATGTTGCCATGAAATAAAAGAAACAAACTTTCTTGGGTACCATACCTCAATAAATGAAAGCAATGACGCTTTGATTCTTCAAACTCTCAAGTTCTATTTTCTTGAAAAATCTCTCTCCCTGCCTACTATTTCTTTCTTCCAGTTCCAATGAGAGAGAAAGGGATTACAAAAAAGAAGTCAAAAAAACTGGGCTTTGGATAGATAGATAGATAGACAACGACAGAAAGATATACGAGCAGTCTTTATATACATATACGTGTATATATCTACACTGATATGCAAGGAAGCGAACTTTTTGTGGGGGCATATGCTTAACAAATAGTGGAGATGGAGGGTCTGTAATCTAAGTCTGTTGCTGAGCCCTGGCGCATGGCTTAAAGAGTCTGCGGACCACCGTTTGGGGTTTGGATCTGACCGAATCGAATTGAACCGGGGAATAAGAGCGGCTCCAGTTTGGGGTTTGACCGCCGAAAATCCCGCCCAGTACAGCTAAGCTTCAAACCACTCCCTATTGCATGCTGCATTTAAAACTTCATCACCATATTTATGTTTATTTGATATATTAGAGTATTCTGTTTAGGTTTATATTTATTGCATTTTCTCTTTCTTGTTGGCAGACAGTGAAGAGGATAGGCTAATGCTATTAGAGGAATACTACTTGTACATTAACATGTACATAAGGGTGTGCGTAATGTGAGTGGAGGTGGGGTACTACACGGTAATGTACAAATAGATTAATCCAATGCTATTAAGGTTGGTTTAGTGCTTGTTTGGGACAGCTTAAAAGTTGTTAAAAATTTGAAATCAAAATCAATAATTAATTCAATCACATAAGTTATGCGATTCACAATTTTTATCAATTCTTCAATGACATATCGCTTTATCAAAAAAAAAAAAAAAATTTGTCAAACGATCCCTTAATTACTATTAGTTTTAAATATATGCAATTTAATATAAAATTGGTCTTGAAATTACTCATATAATTTGTTTGAGTAATATTATTAATCTCCACTAGGGTTACAAACACGGTCTATGTGGCATTAAATCATTTAACCTATCATTTAGAGTCACCTAAACTGTATTTGTAACCTCACTTGGGATGAATAACATTACTCAATTTGTTTTTAAATAAAACTACATTGAGTTGAGTACCATAAGTCATTTATGGGCTTAGTTGAGTGATAATTGATTGCAATTGCCCAATTAATGTCTGTATGTAGGTCCCTAAAATTAAGTATTAAATGCAATTTTTAAGGTAGTTTAATATTGTTAAAATAATAAGTTGTGTTCTCATTCCTTATTGAGAGGGGGATGATTGATATGTTAGAACATGTTAGAAGCGAGAAGGTAGACGAAATTAATGTGGTATAACTTGTGATTGTTAATTTCACATTTGCTTTTCTAACTTTCGTCTCTCAATGTCGGTTCAGTAAAGTGATTTTGTCGTTTTTGTTTTCGATCTCTAAGTATTCATCGCTCCATCGAAAATTCCCTTTGCCACTACCGTACTCCAGTTCGGTAGTTTCAACTGCTTGTCCAAGATTCAACAAGTTTTATAGTCAACTACGTGATTTTGTAAATGAAAATTGAAATAGTTTCGAAGTACAAAAATATCTTTTTACACTAAAATTGTCTCTCATCTAAAAAAAGGTTGCGCACTATAGACCGAGTCAAAACTACCAAAAGTCAACTCCAATTAGGCAACAAAATATTTATAAAAGACAAAAACACCCCTTAAAAGGAAACGACAGTAGAAAATTCAACAAGATGTGCCAATAACCTCTTCCAAAACTTCTTGTCTGCTTTAAGAGGATGACATCTCCACAGTCTAAAAATGACCAAAATAGTAAAATAATATTATAAAATATTTTATTTTAAGCTAATTAAATGTTTTTATCAAATCAGGATTGATTAAAAAATGAATATAATAATGAAAGTGGAATATTAGAGTTCAACTTTGACTTTATTCTATTTTTGACCAATATCTCATTGAATAATCCTGCCCATTTTCCAATTCTAGAAATTTACGGTTTATTCATAATATATTAAAATATTCAGAATCATTTTTTGACGAATATAGTCATACTTCAAACTTTTCATTTTTTTAATATATATTTAATTTACAAACTATAATAAATACTACAGGATTATTGTTCATGTATTCCCGATTATTAATTCTCAATAAATTAACGTTAACATTTATTTAATTATTATTAATTAGAATTTTACATTCACATTCACCTCGTTATTAATTCTCAATTAATTAGAATTTGACATTCAATAATATATTTTATTATTCACGTTCATATATGCTAATTAGCATCTAGTTTCCATATTCTTTTGGAAAATTACATTATATTCATTTAGTATTAATGATTTAACCTTTATTGTCACGTATATATTCCTTAATATTAATTCTACACTACTTCAAGCTTTTCGTTTTTCAATATGTATTTATTTTACAAACACTACAAAATTCTTGTTCATGCACATATTCCTGATTATTAATTCTTAACTAATTAGCATTCACATTAATTTAATTATTATTAATTAGAATTTCACATTCATATTCATGCACGTCCCTGTTATTAATTCTCAATTAATTAACATCACATTCATTTAATTAATATTAATTATAATTATAATTTCACATTGAATAATACAATTCATTATTCGAGTTCATATACGCTAATCATCAAATTTCACTTAATTGAAAATTACATTATATTCATTTAGTATAAATGATTTAACACTCATTTAGCCCCTGTTTGTCTACCATTAATCCAAAAAATTGTTTGCTACAGTAAGATTCTCCACCACACATTCACCCAATAAAATATTCTACACACAAACCAATAAATTTACAATTAAGTAAAATTAATATTGATTAGTGTAAGTACAATTAAGTAAAATTAATATTGAATTTCTATTCTATCCTATAGCTTCTTAATCTTAACCATATATATATATATATGCATTTGCTATTGCACATTCTGTTTCATTCTATGTACATTTGACACAAAAAATTAAATTGATTTTGATATTAACATGGCCGTCCATTCACAGATATAGACGTTATAGAAAATTTGCAAAAGATGAAGGATGACATTCTATGGGAGATTTCAATGATTTTGACATGAAATCGACTCACATATAATTATTTTATTTTTTTAGAAAAAATGCATGCAAGTATGCAACTACCATATTAACTTTCATTGATGTCGCTATGCTCGAACTGGTAAGCGTATATCCTACGTAAATTATAAATGAAATAAATAAACGGCATATAAAAATTTGTGCTGCTCTTCTTAATCCACGTTTGATTTAGTTAAAAATTATATTTTTAGTTGGTTTCGATAAAATTTGATGAAATATGTGGCTGAAAAATTAATGAAATTGTGGGTCCCATAAAATATGTAGCTGAAAATAAAATTGAAAAAAAATTAATTTTGAAAAATGAGAATCAAACACGGACTCAAAAAGATTCACATTTCAGAGATAAAGTCGAGCAATGTAATATTTTAATTTTTTTTTCTTTAATGATGCACAATCTTTTGAACTCCACAAACTTGATCAAGTTCAAAGAATCTTTTCACTATCCATTGGCTTTCAATGCAAGTTATGAGAAAACATCTTTGAATATAATCTCACGTTTGAACGTGGACATACCTTCAATATTTGAAAAATACGATTAGAATTTATTCTTATAGTACCTTTCGTCAACTACTCCTTGTGAGCTCTATTGAGGGTGGACTTAGGTGGAGCATCCTCTAAGCTACCACACCCAAACCCAAAAAGAAAAATAATATGAATTTCTTTTTCTTATGTATTAGTTCGAGTCCAACATATAATTTGGCCTCCCACATGATTTTTTAACACCGTCCTTGAACTCGACTATATCCCGTCAACTTTTATCTTACACATCTCGTTCATGCATCTATAGCGAGAATAAGATTACAGTGGAAGTGAGAAAGACGTAGGGTGGCGGGATTAGTGATGGCAATGGGACGGGTTCAGGGCGGGGCACCCTCACCTCACCCCGCCCCACCACGCCACTCCCCCTCCCCGCCCCGC